TACACTGTACCCTAACTCCTGCCATAGCCATGGCTTCGTCGAACCACCACCGTGGCTCGTCGAACGAGGTGGATGTTTCCAGGATGACAGTGCTGAAATAGATTGAAAGAGTAAAGGGAAGGGCCCGCGGTGTTGGCACAAGTCTTAGACTGTGCTCGAGCTGCAGGTGGTTCGCAGACAGCTGAGCTCAAGCCTTTCATTTGAGCAGTCACTCACTGCAAGCGGGATGCCCGCCCTGGTGGTCCACAACATGTGGGAAAATTTCGAAAACAAGGGCCTAGGGATTAGGGTTTGGGGTTTAGAGTTTAGGGTACTCCCTCTATAGCTGCACACCATACCCATCTTAAACCCTAAACCCTAAACCCTAAACTCTAAACCCTAAACCCTAAACGCTAAACCCTCAACCCCAAACCCCTAAAACCCCAAACCCCACACCCGCCCTTGGCCGGCCGAGGCGTGCACTGCCACTGGTGGCGGCCGCCCGGTATGGGCATCCCGGGAGCAAGGCACCCTGAACTCTGTTTTAGGGGTTTAGGGTTTAGGGTGTAGGGGTTTATAGGGGTTTATAGGGGTTTAGGGGGTTTTAGGGGTTTTATGGGGTTCTGGGGGTTTGAGGGGCTTTCGGGGTTTTAGGGTTGTAGGGGTTTTAGGGGCTTTAGGGGCTTTAGGGGTTTAGGGTTGGGGGTTTAGTTTCTATTGATTTAATGTTTTCCTTTACATTTAGTTGGATTAAGTTCTCTACTAGGCTTGGGGGTTTAGGGGTTTAGGGTTCAGGGTTTGGGTTGGGGGTTTAGGGTTTAGGGTTTGGGGGTTTGGGGTGCAGGGGTTTTGGGTTTGGGTTTGGGGGTTGGGGGTTGGGGTTTAGGGTTTGGGGTTTGGGGTGCAGGGGTTTGGGTTTGGGGTTTAGGGCTTTACGGTTTAGGTGGGGTTTAGGGGTTTGGGGTGTAGGGTTTTTGGGTTTGGGGTTTAGGGTTTTTGGGTTTGGGGTTTTGGGATTTTGGGGTTTCGGGTCTGGAGTTTGGGATTTAGGGTTGCGAGTTTAGGGGTTTAAGTTTCACGGTTTTAGGGTTCGGGGTACGAGACAGGGTGTAAGGTTTCAGGGTTTGGGGGTTGAGGCTTTTATGGTTGAGAGCGCCATGCTGAGCCCTGAACACTCTATGGGGTTTAGAGTTTAGGGGTTTACGGCGAACCGCAATCTCCTCGAGCCATAACCAAGACCCCAGCCAGCCCTCTGGAAGTTGAATCCTTCCGAGCCCCCTATCCTAAACCCTAAACCCTAAACCCTAAGCCCTAAGCCCTAACCCCTAAACCCTAAACCCTAAACCCTAAACCCTAAACCCTAAACCCTAAACCCTAAACCCTACACCCTACACCCTACACCCTACACCCTACACCCTAAACCCTAACCCCTAATTAAACCCTAACCCTAAACCCAAAACCCTACACCCTAAAGCGAAAACCCGAAACCCTAAACCCTAATTCCTAAGCTGCCCAAGTCCGCTGTTTTTCTGCCAGGGCCGAGCACGACGCGCGGCTCGTGCTGCCCACGCCGGCCGCGTGTTCGCCTTCTCGTCGATTGACGGCATGGGGCCCAAGCCGAGCGAAACCAGGAACCCAAAAAGGGTTTGGGGTTCAGGTCGTAGGGCAGTATGGTGGAGGGTTCAGAGCAGAGCAGGTTCGAGCAGAGGCGATGGAAGCTGGCGATCGGGGGCCGCAGGGCGTTCCGAAGTTACTCCCCAGACTCAGGATTCAGATAATCCCACTCGACGCCATGCCTTTCACAATCTGAGGCCACCGGAAGGTTCACTCTAAGGGTAGTTTCATGGGCCCTTAATGTGGTCGCTTACCTCCCTGAAAGGGTTCTGAAGTATGGGCCCTGAATTTGTACAGAGTATATAAGGGGTAGGGGTACCCTTTTGAGGGCCCATACTAAGGGAGCATGTCACTAGCCTGAGATTCACGGGTACTTGAAACCCAATCATCGTTGTAGTTTAACACAAGTCTAGCGCATTTGGGAAAAAAGGGGCTTGTACTAGGGTGGTAAGGATGGTTCGCCTAGGATTTGCTGAAGGAACCTTTTCTGTCATAATTGCTATAACGTTTTAGCACAGTTATCCTTGGGTTCTAAAGCCCCGAACGCTGCACCCTAAACCTTATGGGCCTTAGAGCCTGAACCGAGCTCGCGTGGCTTACGGGTCAAGCCGTTTAGGGCTAAAGGCTCCACCCTGAACCCCAAACCCCAAACCCCAAACCCAAAACCCTAAGCCCTAAACCCTAAACCCTATACCCCAAACCCCAAACCCTAAACCTTGCCAGTAGGGCCTCTACGCAGACTTTCCCTGGCCGAAAGCCGAAACCTCTGGGACATGTTTACCCGGCCGCAAGCCCGACAAGGGCGCGGCTCCCCTCGACCTTGCAGCTCGACTTCAGTCCATATGCTGGAAACAACCTAAACCCTAAACCCTAAACCCAAAACCCTAAACCCTAGACCTTAGACCCTAGACCCTAGACCCTAAACCCTAAACCCTAAACCCTAGACCCTAGACCCTAAACCCTAAACCCTAAACCCTAAACCCTACACCCTAAACCCTAAACCCTAAACCCTACACCCGCCCCTGAGCCGCGAGGCCTCCGGCCCAAGAGCCCGGCTGCAGCCGACTTAGGCCTGAGGGTTTGGGGCTGCTTGGGATTTCGGGTTCGGGGTCTCGGCCAGGGTTTAGCTTACCATGTCAGAAGAGGTAAGTAAGGAGTTAGGTACCCTTATCTCTATAGGGGGTGGGGGGTGGAGGGAAGGTGAAATCAAACCCAACCCCACCCAACCCCTAAACCCTGAACCCTGAACCCTGAACCCTAAACCCTAAACCCTAAACCCTAAACCCTGAACCCTGAACCCTAAACCCTAAACCCTAAACCCTAAACCCTAAACCCTTAACCCTAAACCCTAAACCCTAAACCCAGACGTGATCATTATGTTTTTTGTGGACAGGCCAGCCCCATGAGCCCCTGATCGGTCCCCGACACCCGCGAAATGGAGTCCCCAAACTATGCGGCCCTCAGATTCGCAAAGGACCATGCTTTAACTGCCTGTGACGCATGGTGTTCCCCTCCTTGAACTAAATGCCTTTCGAGTCGAACATTCGATGTGGGCAAAAGGGGGCCTGAATATCCGGGGAGCGCTTATATCTACCTCATACGTACCTCAGTGGCCCCTCCCCCAAAACAAAACAAGTGTAGCCTCGAAACTCTAATCCCTAACCCCTGTGCACAAACCCTAAACGTTGAGAACCCTGACCCTAAACCCTGAAGCCTGAAACCCAAAACTCTGATCCCTGAACCCTAAACCCTACACCCTCAACCCCAAAAGAACCCTAAACAGTAGGAGAAGAACATTCTGGTTGGCTTCCAAAGCACTTGTCTCGAAGGGGGCAACCTATCAGCAAAGCAGGTTTTTAGATAAATTGAAGCAGAATCTCATGTGCTTGAAATCTTGCACTTCTCTCAGCAAGGCAAGCTGCGGGTGTCGTGATGACGCTTTCGGGGCGGTCGCGGTTCCGCGTTGCCTTGTTGCAACGAACCTGCTAAGGTCCAAACAAGTTCCTCACCTGCGTGCAATTCGGCACCTGCCCAGACCCCCACATCCCCATGAACCCGTATCAATTTTCGGGTCGAGGCGCGTTGGTGGACACAAACCTGCGAATCGTGCTCTGCCGGCGTTAGCCGCCTTGGGTCTTTTCAAAGAGGTTGAACCCATCGAGCCTCTTTTCGCGATGCTGAACCGCGGCGCGAACCACCCTCTGCTCCCTGACTAACACCCATCCTGACCTTATCTAGCTGGTCCAACCTGTCAGATTAAAACACGTTCCTTAAGTTAAAGGAGCGCAAACGCAGCACAGACTCCAAAAGGCCAACAACAAGCCTCCAACAGGCACCCAAAGCTTCAGATTCAAGAGGCGTTTCAAAGTGTCCCGACAGCATTCGGAGCAAGGCTCCAAAAAGGTTCCAAACCAAACGCCCTCAACCTTAAACCCCAAATCTTAAACCCTAAGCCTTAACCCTAAACCTTAAACCCTAAACCCTAAACCCTAAACCAACCCTAAACCCTAAACCCGAAACCCTAAACCTGCAAGCAAGCCGCAGGCTTCTTTGTCGGCCTCCAGGGCGGCGACAAGGACTTCGTTGTGGTGGAGCCATCGGACGCAGGCGAAACCTCTGAACCCTAAACACCCAACCCAAAGAACCTAAACCCTAAACCCTAAACCCTAAACCCTAAACCCTAAACCCCTAAACCCTAAACCCTAAACCCTAAACCCTAAACCCTAAACCCTAAAACCATGCCCTAAACCCCTGAACCCTAAAAAGCCTAAAGCCCAAACACCCTGAAAACCCTAACAGGCCAAAAAACCCTGAAGTCCCCAAAAACCCCAAGCCTTAAAACCCAAACCCTAGACACCCTACAGCCCCAAACCCCTAAACACCCTAGAAACCTTAAACCCCACGCCCTAAACCCTAAACCCGAAACCCTAAACCCTAAACCCTAAACCCTAAACCCTAAACCCTAAACCCTAAACCCTAAACCCTAAACCCTAGAAGCCTTAAACGCCCAGCCTTCTTGGCTGACCATGTCCCCTGCAGCCCAAGCTGCTTGTGACAGCCAGGTTTAGGGCGTTGAGATTTGCTTAAGCCAAAGTCCTTTGAGCAAAAGCCCTGTCACAACCTACCCCCTCAACCGCCGAAACCCTAAACCCCATGTTTTGCAATCTGGGCTTAGCCTTTTCGATCTATGCCCTTCTACCCGGCCCTAAGCCCCAAACCCTAAACCCTCGAGGGCTTTACAGGGCTTAGGGCTTACGAAAGGGCTTAGCAGGGCTTGCAGAGTTTGGCAGAGCTCCCGCCAAAGCCGTAGAACCCTGAAGCCTAACAGTAACGTGGTTAGGGCTTGGGGTTTAGGGTGTCGGGTTAAGGGCAGCGCGTCGAAAGAGCGCAGGCGACGCCGCGCGCGAATGGCGGGAGCGGCTGTTGCAGCCGCTCAGCTGAAACAGACCCCCCAAAACCACTAAACCCTCAGCCCTACATAGGAAAGAAGAGCATGCCGTCTATTTTTCTACGGCTGCGTTTGGCCTCTAGTCTAGGGTTTAGGGTTTAGGGTGTAGGGAAGGAGCTCTCAGCATGTCAAGCCCAGATCCCCAGCCATTTCCCGAAGCACCTGGCGACTTGGAAGACCCTGTGGCTTCTTCTAGGGTTTAGGGCTTAGGGTTTAGGGATAGGGCTTAAGGTTTAGGGTTGTTAGGTATTCGGGTTTAGGTTGTTGGGGCTTCGGGGTTTAGGGTTAGGTTAGAGTTTCGGGTTACGGGCTTAGGGCTCAGGATTCAGGATTTCTCACTACTGTAAGGGTTCATGTGACCGAGGCGAAAGCAGGGTTACTAGATGGAGAAGCTAGAGCATATTGGGTGAGGTCTTAAATTCTAAACGTACCCACAAGCCCAAGAACGCTGTGAGGCTAGGGCTCTTCCGCGACGATGGCGGTCTGCCAGAGGTGCGCCGCTTGAAGAACCCAAAACTAGCCACCAACCGTAAACCTCAAGCCCCAACCCTAAATCCCAAATCCAAAACCCTAAGCCCTGAGCCCTAAACCCTACACCCTAAACCCTAAACCCTCAACCCTCAACCCTCAACCCTCAACCCTAAACCCCAAACCCCAAACCCTAAACTCGACTGAGTGAGTTCCCTGAGGCTCTTCAGGGAGCAGAACATAGGGTCCAGGGCAGGCTGGCATCTTCGGGATAGGACAAAACTGGTATTCTGGGCCTAGGGCGTAGGAGTTCGGGTTCAAGCTAAGCATCAGTATGGTCAGATGTGGCACCAAGTTTCAACTAAAGGGCTCAAACTAAGTTTTAGACCAAAGGCCAAGCTCACAAGAGCTGCTTAGTATGATATTTACAGGGAGGAATAGGGGAATATAGGGGTCGGAAGAAATTACTAATCGGAATCCCTTGTGGTTCCTTCATGAATATACTATAGCAACCCCCAAAACCCTATTCTAATTATTAAGGCCCCTGTAGTACTTTTTTGGGCTCTTGCTTTCGCAAGGTTGGGGCCTGGCACCCGTAGCACAAGGCCCGGCGGATGTTCGCCAAATCCCGAAACCCACATCCTAAGCCTAAGCCGCCTCTGGACTCATCCCAGGGCTCCTTTTGGGAGTCTTACAGCTTGAGTGTATTCATACGTAACCCTCAACCCTTAAGCCCTGAACCCTAAGCCCTACCCCTGAACACCTACTTTCTGTCAGCCCTACAACCCTGATAACCGGAACATCCCAAAGGCCCTAACACCCTAAGCCCTGCAGCCATAAAGCCCTAAAGTCCCCAAGACAAGATTCTCAACTTTAAGCCCAAGGGCTCTCTGAGAGGTTTCGGGTTCAGGGTTCAGGGTTCAGGGTTCAGGGTTCAGGGTTCAGGTTTCAGGGTTCAGGGTTTAGGGTTTAGGGTTTAGGCTTCGGGCAGCGAAGCTGCTTGCAGGCTGTGGATTTGAGGACGGCGCTCGCCTGGGGCAAAAAGGCGGAGAACTGGGCGCCTAGGCATAAGGGGAATAGTAGGGGATTAGGCTTTGGGGCTCAGGGTTTAGGGACCTAAAAGCCCCAAACCGCACAAACCCTAAACGGGTTTAGCGGTCAGGATTTAGGGCTTAGAGTTTCTGAGAGGAATAGGGGTTCAGGGCTTGAGAGGGTTTAAGGCTTCAGGGTTTTGGGGCGCGCACGGTTTAGGATGGTCTAAACCCCAGATACGCCAAAGCAAGGGGGTGGAGGGTGAAGCCTAAGCGCCTCAACCCTAAACCTAAACCCTACACCCTAAACCCTTTAAACTCTAAACCTGAGAAGTTTGGTGGAGTGAATGGTGCATGTTTGTTTTTTTTGGGATGGCTTCAGGGTTTAGGGTTCAATCCTAAAACCCCACACCCTAAATCCAAGACCCTAGACCCTAAAGCCCAAAAACCCTAAATCCTAAAATCCTAAAACCCTGAAATCGTAAACCCTAAACCTTAAAACTCCAAACCCTAATCTTTAAAGTCCTACACCGCGCCCAAGCACGCGGGAGGCCCCTGGATCCATAAATGGCGCCCAAGCCCCTAGGACCCGCTTCCGCTCGCAGGACCCGACAGCCGCAAACCCAAGACCTCAACATGCAACCCTAGGGTTTAGGGTTTAGGGTTTAGGGTTTAGGGTTTAGGGTTTAGGGCAAGAATTTTTGAGAACACGCCTTGAGTCGGTCCTCCATTTTGTCAACTCATGTTCGGGTTCCGGGTCTGACAAGAAGAAGCATACACTCTCTGGGCCTAAATATTGGGTTTGGGGGGCTATAATGGTATAGTTATATAGGGACCACAAGGCAATACTGAAAGTAGTTATTCCGACCCCTGTATTACTTGCTTACGTGTCGCGTGGCTGAAAGCCTTGACCTAAGCCTGAACCCCTAAATCCCCAAAGCCCGAAACCTCTAAACCCACAACCCTAAACATCTGAACCCGCAAACCTCTGAACCCCTGAACCCTCAATACCCCCAAACCCCTCCATCCCTTGGCGAAAGAGACATGTAGCCCAAGCTAGACACAGGCCTAAACCCTAAGCCCTACACCTTATAACCCTAAACCCCAAACCCCAAACCCCAAACCCTAAACCCTAAACCCCAAACTCCAAACCCTAAACCCGAAACCCCAAACCCTAGGTGCCCTGGATGTGGAGCCGTCGTGTGTGTGAAGAGCGCCTCGGGGCGACCACAGCAGGGCTGAGGGCGTTCTAGGGTTTTTTTGAGGGTGCTTTATGACTTTTTGGTTTAGGGTTTCGGGTTTCGGGTTTAGGGTTCGGGGCTTGAGGGTATGTTAGGAATTGTTGGGGGCGTTGTCGGGTCTTCAAGGGTGGGTGGTTTAGTTAGGGTTTTCGGGTATCAGGGTGTTTTATGTCTTTATGTGTTTTTTTTTGTGGGGGCGGGGAGGGGGGCGGGGGGGTTGTCGGTTTTTTTTTTCAGGGTGTTTAGGAGGTTTTAAGATTGATCCTGGGAGGTTCCGCCATAGAGTCCCTTACAGTCTATTTGACATGAAGAAAGAACAGCAGCATGAGTAAAAACGAGCCGAAATGCCATACATGTCCACAGGCCCTTATATTCTACACTTGAAGCCCCAATTGCACCCCAAACCCGAAAAGCGCTATAGCCCTAATTTCCTTAACGCTAAACTCTGAACCTTTAGTAAAACCTAAACCCTGAGCCCTCCAATCCTAAAACCCTAGAAGCCCTAGGTCCCAAACTCGCCCACCATGCCCTGCCAAAGGTAGGGTTTAGGGTTTAGGGTTTAGGGTCTAGGGTTTCGGGTTTCGGGTTTATCCTTGTTATGGTATTTCGCCTCAAGTACTTGAACACGCGCCCTGCAATCCGTAATCCAAGTTGAGGCTTACGAAGGACCCTGAAGATACCCCTAAACCCTCAACACCCCGAGCCCGAAACCCTAAACCTTGTTTCAACCCTAAACCTAAAGACCCCTAACCCCTGAACCATGCACCCTAAACCCTAAACTAGGCCCCAAACCTAACCCTAAACCCCGAACACCCTGAACCCTTGTTTCCTAGTTGAAGGCTGGGTGACCCTGTTGCGGCCGAGCGCTGCGCCGGCTGGCTTGCGCTCCATGGCAAGGCGCCCCCTGAACCCTAAACCTTTGTAACGCTCAGATCTCCCCTAAACCGCAGAACCCTACACCCAGGAACCCTCTCACCTCAACCCCAGCCCTCTAAAACCTGAGAGTCCCTTCTGGGGAACCACGAGAAGGGTTTCGGGTTTAAGGTTTAGGGTGGTGGGTTTAGGGTTTAGAACTCAAAGCCAGTGTTCATGGATGCCCTCAGACTCTAGAACCTCTGGAAAGGCCTGGACACGCCTGGAAACTCTGCAGCCGTAGATCTAGAAATCCCAAACCCCAAACCCCAAACCCCAAACCCCAAACCCTAAACCCTAAACCCGAAACCCTAAACCCTAAACCCGAAACCCTAAACCCTAAACCCTAATCTGGCGAGAGCGCCGCTGCCCATATGCGTGGGTGGTCAAGCCTCCGCAACGCGTTTTACTTCGTAGCATAGCTACGTAATTAAGACCCCAAACCTCCATGGGAGTCCCCCTTGCTAGAGGGGTTTGGGTGGTCGAGCCCTTTAAACCCTGAGAGAATAGTTCAGTTGGGGGGTAGGGCTACTAAAGCTATGCAAGCGCGTGATAGCGAGTGCGTGTGTAAATAAACGGAAAAGGCCTGAAAAGGCGCACTCCCCGCGCGCGTACACTGATACACCCTAATAACCCTAAACCTTAAACCCTAAACTGCCCTAAACCAAACCCTAAACACTATACCCTGAACCTGAAACCTTAAGCCCTAAACCCCAAATCCCAAACCCTAAAACCCTGAACCCTTGACATAGGGTTCTGAGCACTGGGGAGCTCTTTTCTCTATGGGCAGGAGTGGGCCGCCGCACGGTGCCTGGACTGGCGCAAGGCCGCACACATTCTCTTTCAGGGGTTTAGGGTTTGGAGTTTAGGGTTTATGCGTTTGGGCTTTATGGGTTTAGTTTTTATGGGGTTAGGGCTCAGGTCTTTGGGTTCAGGTTTATTTGGGGTCGAGGTTGAGGATGAGAGCAGTGGCCCTGCGTATGGTTTGGAAGGAGAGTTGCATCCCAGACTCGTAAGCCTCCCCTCGGGTTTGGGTTTTCGGCAACACCCCAAACCCAAAACTCTCGCGCGTCCGGCTTGGCTTTTCAGGAGTTCGCCGGCGAGCTCGAGCGACGTTTCGGACTGCAGTGTGGCGGTGGCCAGGTGGGGATTTAGATCCAACCTTGGACCCTAAGCCCCAAGACCCTAAGCTCTCCTGGCCCTGAAGCCTTTCTTGCACGACAGGTGGTCTGCTGGACTGAGGAGGAGGCTGATGACGCCATCTCTCGTACTTTGGACGAAGGCCAGCAAACCGCCCTAAACCTTCAACCCTAAACCCCTACACCCTAAATCCTCAACCCTCAACCCTCAACTCTACACCCTGAACCCTAAACCCTCATTACCCCCCCCCGCCCCGGCGGTGGGTCGCTCTGTCAGGGTTTTGGGCTCTAGTGTGTAGGGTCTAAGGGTTAGGGTTTTAGGGTTCATGACTGCAGGGTGTAGGGGTTTAGCGTGTAGGGTTTAGGTTTAGGTTTCGGGCTCTAGGGTTCAGGATATAGAGGTTTCGCGTGTAGGGTCTAGAGCCTGCCGCAGAGCCAGAGCCAACGCCATTCACTCATGGAATCCCTCACTGTAGCGTTATCTCTACGCGTAAGGCCTCTGGACTTCAGTGATGCTCAGCGCATGCCGGCCCGAAATGCCGCAGCTGAACATGGTTTAGGCTGCGGCTTTAGGGTTCAGGGGTTTAGGCCTTCGGGGGCTTCAAGGGCTTTCAGACACGCTCTAGCTGCCCAGCTGTGTCCACAAGGCCGCAGAGCCATCCGAGCTAGATGAAGTCGCTACCTGCGATCCCGGATGCGTTGCAGATGCGTGCAGCAAGCCAGGAATTCGCGGCGCTACTTGGCGACATTGAGGGGTCTGGGCCAGGAGCAACAGGTCAAGAGCCTTGGCTTGTCTCGATCGCCTGAGCCAAGACGGGCAACTAGGACGACCTCGACAGGGGGCTCGCGGAGTTGGCATCAAGCTCCCAATGTTCTCCTTGCACTGATGATGTCGATGTTGCATTGGGGCTCAGATTGATGATGTTCTGCAACAAAGGGGCCCCTATCCCTGCTGAAGCATGCTGAATTTTCTAGCCAAGATTTCCCAATGGACTTTCGCACCCTCAGCCCTACACCCCCCAGCATCTCAGGACCCATAAAAGCCCAAAGCCCTAACCCCCGTTGAAGCCGAAACCATAAACGCTAGAACAAGGCCCTAGCTCCCCCCCCCCCCCCCAAAAAAAAAAAAAACAAAAACAAAATAGCAGGTTGGTTGAACAAAACACCAGGTTGTGAAAGAATGCCCGCAATTCGCCCCAGCATGCCCGTAATTCCGGAAATGCCCGTGATTCCGTCATGCTGTTTGGGGGGGGGGGGGGCCCACAACCGAATTCTACGTAAGATCTCACGCAATACCTCACGGAAAGGCCTGTACGTAGATTTGTAAACTTGTAAACGGCCACCAAAGAAACCGTAAAAACCCAAAAAACAAAACCATAAGAATCCAGAATCTGGCAATCCCTGCTGTGTTTACGTAAGTTTTTACGTGCTTGTGAAGGAGGTTCGGCCAAACCCATGGGATGCCACCCCCTCAACCAAACCCACGCAACACCCCAAACAACCGCAATTCCAAGGATCTCCTGGGCCACGCCCGTGAAAAACCAGCACGCCGCTAAAATCGGAATCCGCCTTAAACAACAGTAGGTCTAAGCCAACCAAGAAAAGCAGGATAACAGGAGATATACGTGTATTTACCCGAAACCCTAAACCCTAAACCCTAAACCCTAAACCCTAAACCCTAAACCCTAAACCCTAAACCCTAAACCCTAAACCCTAAACTCTAAAGGCTCACCTGAGCTTCCCAAACAGTTCCGCCAGGTTGGCCCGGGGTCTTTGTCAAGGCTCGCCTTTTTCCAGCGCTGCAGATGCGAAACTCAATAGGGTTTAGGGCTCAGGGTTCAACCTCCCCGGGTTTAGGGTTTAGGGTTTAGGGTTCAGGGTTGGGGGGTGTAGGGTTTAGGGTTTAGGGCTCAGGGTTCAGGATTTGGGGTTTGGGGTTGGGGGTTCTGGTCTTACGTCTTGAGTCTCAAGGCTAACGGTCTTAAGGTTTGGGGCTCGAACGTCTGGGGGGCTGAGTGTCCAAGGCTGCAATAGAAGTTCAGGCAGGAGGAAGCCAACAGAAAGATCGGAGAACCCGATGTGGTGTGGCTGACAAGGTTCGAAAGCGACCGAGATCTGGCGAGTTTGAAATGTCTGCCGTTTATCGAAGTTCGAAACATTGTGTGGACACCTGTTTCCGAGCATCGTCTCCTCACATTCTTACTTTTCAACTTTTTGGAGGTCTGCCCAGCCAGTCCGGGCGCCCCTTCAATCGGACCAGCTGGGCAGCCGGCGAATCTCAAAACCTGTTTCGAATTCACCCGGCGAAGCGTGCCAAATCACCAGGACAGTTTCCGGTGGGTGGCTTCCTTATCAGAGTCTTCGAAGAGGCGCATGCAAAGTTGTCTACTGCTTCTAGTTGGCATTGACAGACAGCCGCAACCCACTTGCAACTGTCCTTGAACACACAACCGCGCTGTGCCTTCTTGGAATGCCGGCTGATGACGGGCATCGAACTGGGCCGGGCACACGGGGGCTAATTTTCTAACCATGGGTTTAGGGTTCAATTAGGGTTTATCATTTTAGGGTGTAAGAGGGTTTAGGGCTTAGGGTTTAGGGTTTAGGGTGTAAGAGCACCTTCTCACGCAGGCCAGCCCAGTTGCAAGTTTGACAGCTGGTGGCCTCCTCTCACCGCAATTCCCGAAGCCCTACAGGCCCTACTCGGTTTCGCAATTCGAGGCGTTTGCGGCTACAGCGTAGAGAGACTGAAAAATTCAGGCTAGACCGTAAACCCTAAACCCTCAACCCTCAACCAAACCCCAAAAACCCTAAACCTTAAACCCTGAACCCTAAACCCTACACTCTAAACCCGAAACCCTAAACCCTAAACCCTAAACCCTAAACCCTAAACCCTAAACCCTAAACCCTAAACCCTAAACCTCAACTCGAAGCCGAAACCGCAGGCCGAACATGGCTGGGCCGGGCAGGGCAACAAGCGCCTGCGCAACGCAGACACTGAGGACTGGGTTTAGGGTTTAGGGTTTAGGGTTTAGGGTTTAGGGTTTAGGGTTTAGGGTTTAGCGTTTAGGGTTTAGGGTTTAGGGTTAGGGTGATGCGTTCGGCACAACCACTTTCCATGATGATGCCGTGTCTGCAGGCAGGTCCGCTCGTACAATTCCATGCGTAGGGGAGCATATGAAAACCCTGATATACGAGTCGGAATGATTACTAGTCGTATTCCCTTATGGTCCGTGTATTTATACTATACTACCCCTCAGAACCGAATTCTACTTATTTTGGCCCTATAGTATTTCTGTAAACTCAAACTCGCTCTTCGTTCGATGTCCTAGTTACAACCCTGTATACAAGGTGTTGAGTTCCGTTTTTGGGGTTCGGGGCTTTACCTCGAGACCCGAAAACCCCAGAACCCAAACCCCAAACGGTTGGGCTTCTGGGCCTTCGAAGGGAGGCCCTAAACCCGATGATGGCCGGAAGCCCGAGCCAGCAATCCCGTTACACCCTACTTCCGAAACCTTAAAGCCCTAAAACCGAAGCCCCCAAACCCGGTTTGGGGTTTAGGGTTTCGGGTTTAGGTTTAGGGTTTAGGGCCCTACGCCCTATTCAAGCCCTAAGCCCCGAAGGCTGCCCAGCGCCACTTCCGCCGCTGGCTGGCGCGGCGCCTGCGCCAGGGACCCGTGGTGGTGGAGCCGGCGGCTTGACTGCAGTTGCTCTGCGCAAACCTTCAACCCTAAACCTTGAGAACCCTAAACCCTAAACCCTCAACCCTAAGCCCTAAACCCTATAAACCTTTAAAGAAATCATATTTGACAGGATCCTCTGAGACCCTAACCCTTAAACCCCAAAACCCAAAAAATCCCCAAACCCTAAACCTTGAGCCCTGAAGCCTAGACCCTAACCCTAACTATCAATCCCAACCGAAATCTGCGCAGTTCATGGGTCTAGAGGCCCAAGTCCCCGCCACGATTTTGGGGTTTTAGGGGTTTAAGAGTTTAGAGGTTTAGAGGTTTTGAGGGCTTCGGGGATTTAGGGGTTTGGGGGTTTAGGTGTTTGAGGGGTTCAGGGGTGGAGGGATGTAGGGTTCAGGGTCTATGGGCTTTAGGGCAACTTTAGGGGTTTAGGGGTTTACGGGTTTAGGGTTTGCAGGCTGCCAGGCAGCACCTTCGGCGCGGTACGGCCCCTTAGCTACCCCAAAACATACCCAGACTCTCAGACATTTGGTTTTTTCAACGGAGATGTTGGCCTTCGGCAGAAATCACTTCTAATTCTGGAGGATTTAGCTAGCCCTGCATTGCGATGAACTGTGCTGTAGTTGAGCTCTCTAGTCCGTAGGCTATGACCAACTTAAAAATGCTCACGAGCTTGAGGAGTGCGACCGAGTACTGGACTTCTCTGTGCAGCTGGACGTGTGCAGCACAGGAAAGACAGAGATCATGAGCAAGCGGCTCCGCTGAAGCACATGTTGCCTTGCGCCGGTAGTAGGAACCAAGATGAAAGTTTCTTACAGACTAGAGGCACCACTATCACAACCTTCAGAAATTACTGCTAGGCACAATACCAACAACAAGCCACGAAACCCTATACCCTAAACCCCAAGCCCTAAACCCTAAACCCCATGCAGAAAAATGGCTCTAGAAGTCTCAAGCCGCCAGAACCGTGAGACCCAACCCGAAGACGCCTGACAAGCCCTTTAAGCATTGTAAGGTTTAGGGTTTTAGGGTGTAGTGTTTAGGGAGTGGGTTTAGGGATTAGGTTTTCTAGAGGTTTAATGTTTCGGGGTTGGGGTTTGGGCATTTTAGGGGTTTGGGGTTTTACGCCCCTAAACCCTAAACCCCTTGAAACCCTTGAACCTCTGTCTGAACCCTAAACCCTTAAACCCTAAACAGTTCTCAAGCCCTAAGCCCTGAAACCCTGGAACCCTGGAACCCTGAAACCCTGAAACCCTGGAACTGGAACCATGGAACCCAAAATCCCTAAAACGTAATCCTTAAACCCTAACCCCAAACCCTAAACCCTGAACTCTGAACCCTGAAGCCCTAAACCCTAAACCCTGAAACCCTGAAACCCTAAACCCTAAAACCCTAAAACCCAGGAACGTCTTCCGATGCGATGGCCGGGGCGCGTTCCTCGGGGCCGAGGTGGGCGAGCACGACTGGGAGGATGCCTGGGTGCCTTGGCCAAGGGGGGTTTAGGGGGTTAGGGCTTAGGGTTTTTAGGGTTTAGAGTTTTTAGGGTTTAGAGTTTGTAGAGGTTAGGGTTTAGGGTTTTTAGGGTTTAGGGTTTAGAGTTTAGGGTTTAGGGTGTAGGGTTGAAGTTTTTTTGGGTTTAGCGTTCAGGGTTTCGGGCTTAGAGCTTCTGAATGTCCTCAACTTGTTTTTGAAGGTACGTGTTCTCTTTCTTCCGCCCGAAGGGGCGTGGGGTGAGCGGGTGGGGCGGCAGAGCGGCACTCCAAAACCGGAAGGTGTGCGCCTTCAGCCACAACACTGCGCGCGTGTCCGATGGCGCTGACGCCTGCGAGCTGGCGCTTGGACTTTCAGACGGTGGTTTTAGGGTTTCAGGTTTGAGCGTCTATTCTTTAGGGACTTGAGAGGTATAGGAGCCTGTATAGGTTGAAACTTTGAAGCCTGACCTCTAAACCCTAACCGCCCTAAGCCCTGTATCCCAAGCCCTGCAGTCCAAGACAGCCCGGAATCCTCAACTCTTCATCCCTAAACCCTAACCATGAACCCCAAATCCTAACCCCTACACCCCAAACCCTGTGTGACACCCAAACCCGAAACCCTAAACCCTAAACCCTAAACCCCAAACCGTAAACCCTAAACCCTAAACCCCAAACCCCAAACCCTAAACCCTAAACCCTAAACCCTAAACCTCCCTAGGCAGACTTCACAGCCTCGACCTTGGCCGCCACGGTCGGCCGTCGACTCGCATCCGCGGGTTACGCGGGCCCCTGCGGGGCCCCTTTGCTGGTTTTGAGGTGTCTGGGGTGTTTGTGGGTTTCGGGGTTTGTAGGGTTTGGGGTTTGGAGTTTGGGGCTTGGGGATTTTGGGGTTGGTTGAAGGGTTTTGAGGATTCTTGTTTTGGGTTCCGTCAAGTTGAGGGGCCTTTGCGACTTTAGGCATCCAGGGCCTTTGTTGCATGTCAGGGACGAGGCCTCAACTGAAGCAGTCGCGCCAAGGTTTCTTCTAAGGCCTCCCGAACCCTACCCAAAGATCCCCCCAAGCCCTAAGGCCAGGAAGCCTGCATCGAAGCCCTCCAAGCTCTAAACTCACACCCTCTAAACCGCCTTTAGGGTTTAGGGTTTAGGGTTTAGGGTTTAGGGTTTAGGGTTTAGGGGTTAGGGGTTAGGGCTTAGGGCCTAAAACCTCTAAACCCTCCAAAGCCCTCTAAGGCCTACACCCCCAACCGGAAATCGACGCCCAGGTCGACGGCTTTCTCTATCGGCATCCTGACACGGGGCTGCTGCTTGGTCAGACGTGGGGGATTCTCTCTACATGCTGGGCTCTTTCTGCGTGCCCTCAGCATAAACCCTAAGCCCTAAGCCCTAAGCCCTAAGCCCTAAGCCCTAAGCCCTAAACCTTAAACCCCACGTGTAAGGCTCCATCTTTGAATAGGAGGATCCCCCAAAACGGCCATCAATTTGCTAAATGGCGTGGCCTGAAGCTGCAACGGGCCTTTGGGATTGAAGGCCTCTAGGGATTAGGTCTCTTAGGTCTCTAGGGTTTGGGGTTTAATTGTTGAGGGCCTCTGGGTCCTTTCAATTCAAGCAGGCTCCGATATGTGGGCTTCCGGCTCCTTTCCTGAAGAGGAAAACTCATCCCACAACCCGAACCCCCTAAACCTCCTAGACCCCCTAAACCCTCGAAATCCCCGAAACCCCCGAAACCCTGAACCAGGAGAGATGAAGCTTTAATAAAGCAAAGGCTCACACTCCGCCCCATCTCGGATGTGAACCCCCGCCAGACGCTGCTGGGCTGCTTCTATTGTTCAGGGCTCATAAACTAGGGCGTAGGGCTTAGGGCTTAGGGTTTAGGGTTCAGGGTTTAGGGTTTAGGGTTTTGTGGATCTGGGCCTTTGGCGGCTTCAGGGCTTGTAGGGCTCAGGGCTTGTGAGGGTTCATGGTTTAAGGTTCAGGGTCTCAGTTCCTTTCTCTGGCAGTTGAAGTGGAGGCGCGACCCTTTTCCCTAAACCCTACAGACCCTAAACCTTAAGCCCTAAACCCTAGACCGAACACTAAACCCTAAACTCTCAGCCTAAACCCTAAACCCTAAAAGCCCACGACTTCGAAACTTGGAGCCTGAACCCCACGAAACACCCGAAAGACCTTAACGCCCAAACCCCAAACCCTAAACCCCAAACCCTAAACCCTAAACCCTGAACCCTAAACCCTAAACATAATCCCTAAACCCTAAGCCCTAAACACCCTAGCCTGGCCTCCCAGGATCACGCGCGTTGCGCAGGTGGTTGCGAACCGCTTGCCGGAGGACCGCGGTTCAGATGTTCCAGTTCTGAAGCCTCTGGGGTGACTACGGTTTAGGGTGTACCGTGTAGGGTTTAGGGTTTAGGGTTTAGGGTTTGGAGTTTAGGTCTAGGGCTTAGGGTTTAGGGCTTGGAGTTTAGGTCTAGGGTTTAGAGCTTAGGGTTTGGGGTGTAGGGTTTGTTGGTTTGGGGTGAAGTAGGAGTATGTTTACACGAGACATTCATGTGCCCTTCTCGAGTTTAGGTCTTGAGGCTTACCCTCAACCCTAAACCCTATACCCTAAACCCTCAAGACCAGGGTAACTGAAGATTGTATGTGGTATCATCGTGAACGTCCCATGTTATGTGTCCAAAGGAGCCACGGGGGTTTAGGGTTTAGGGTTTAGGATTTAGGGTTTAGGGTTTAGGGTTTAGAACTGAAGGCCTTTCCAGGCCTCTCAAGACGAATTTATACCATCTATATGAAGGGCTGAACGACCCGGCTTTATCCCAGCCCCAAATGTTCAACCGAAACGGCCACTAGAGCCTTTAAAACTCCCCAAAGCCACCTTGAAGCAAAAACCGAAACCCGCTCAAACCCTCCCAAAACTTTCGCCCAAAACTCCGGACACAAACCCTATACGATTTCTATGCAAGTCACGCACTCCTAGCGCCCAGAAAAGGACTAAGGACCAACCCCAGAACTGGACCAACAACCCTTAGCCGCACAAAAGCAAAAAACAAAACCTGCCCAAAACTTTCGCTCAAAACTCCGGACACAAACCCTATACAATTTCTATAAACCCTAAACCCTAAACCCTGAACCTGAACCCTGAACCCTAACTAAACCCTAAACCCTAAACCCTAAACCCGAAACCCCTTCGTTTTTGAAGCTGTTTGGCTTCAGTAAGAAGCTTCGCATCTTCATTGGGCGAGGCCCTGGTCTAGGGTTTAGGGTTTAGGGTTTAAGGTTTAGGGTTTAGGGTTTAGGGCTATGGCTGTGGACGAGACTGCCCCGGGATGGCCCCAAGGGCTTCTGGCGCTCCCGATACCTTAAAACCGTCATCATCAAGTCCTGAACCCTTATGGACCCTAAACCGAAAGCTGCATTCTGCAGTGAGCCGTTGAGGATGGCGATGTTTCGAACGGTGGCTCCCCAAACCCTCCCTATACCCTAAACCCTAAACCTTAAACCCTAAACTCGAAACCCTATAAACTATAAACCCTAAACCCTAAACCCGAGTCCTAATCCCTTAAACCCTGAAACCCTTGTGTTGGCAGGACGTTTTGGGCCGATCCGTGGGGCTTCGCCTCCTGCCCCGAGCGCGCGCGGAAGCTCTTTGGGCCAGGCGCCACCCCACAGAGTCTGTGCAGGGTTTAGGGTTAAGAGTTTAGAGTTTAGGGTCTAGGGTTTGAGGTGTAGCGTTTAGGGTTCAGGGTTTGGGGTTTGGGGTTTAGGGTTTAGGGCTTCGGGGTTAGGGTTTGGGGTGCTTCAAGCTAGCCATCACCCTAAGCCCTAAACCCTACCCTAAACTCCCCTGGGTCTTTCACCCTAAGGCCGAACGCTCGCGGCTCCGAAGCAGCTCAAAACCCCCAATTGCTCAATGCTTTAAATCCTAAACCCTGGGCGGGTTTAGGGTTTCGGGTTCAGGCTTTTCCTGATATTTCGTGAAACCCTCAACCCTCAACCCTCAACCCTCAACCCTCAACCCTCAACCCTCAACCCTCAACCCTCAACCCTCAACCCTCAACCCTAAACCCTAAACCCTAAACCCTAAACCCTAAACCCTAAACTCTAAACCTAAGCCCTAAACCCTAAGCCCTAAACCCTAAACCCTAAACCCTACACCCTAAACCCTAAACCTGCAACGCCGCTTGCAGGAGATCGGAGGCAGTCTGCAGCGCCAGCGAGGCGTTCGTGGAGCTGCCAGCAAAGGTGCTGGACAACGAGCCTTCTGCCCCGTTTGGAGTTTAGGGTTGGGATGTTTCCTTTATACTAACAATCCTTTTTTGGGGATTATAATTGGGGGTTCTATATTCCCTATAAAGGACTGCTAGTGTAAGGGGTAACATCCCAAGTTTAGGGTTTTTTGGGGTGTAGGGAGGGGTCGTAGGCATATGCCGAGGTCGAAGCCACTTTTTATGGCGGCAGGCGTACTCGGCTAGCAATGGGATGCATGGCAGCCCCGAAGCCCGAGCCTTGAAAGCCTAACCCCCTCGGCCCTGAAGAACCACCGACACAAACGGAAATTCGATTGCCAAGAAGTTCTTGCTTCGGCGATGCTGGGCTCGACGAAGTTGACGATCATGTTTAAAACAACCCCAACAAGGAAGCCACCTAAAGCGATAACAGTAAGTCTGCGCATCTTGCTTGATGGGATCCTGCAGTCCCATAGTATGTACAGCGATATGAAATAGGGTTTATATTTCTGTTATTGGTGATTGTATATAAGGTTCCTTTTTAGTATTGGTGAGTGTATGTACTTGAGTGTCCTTTCGGAGATACAAGCAATAGAAACCCTGCTTCGTATGAGCCCCACGTAAAGCGATAACATGGTATTCCGCGACTTCGCACTCTCCTAACTAATTTCGTCCGTCGCTCATGTGGCTTTCTTTTGGCTGGCTTTGCTTTGCTCTAGTTGTGCTTGGCTCGCTGTGATCTGTGCTTGGGTGGTCTTGGGGTGGGCATGTCTTCACACTGCTGCGTCCAGCTGACCAACCACTACACCTTACCCAAAACCCCAAAACCCCAAAACCCCAAAACCCCAAAACCCCAAAACCCCAAAACCCCAAAACCCCAAAACCCCAAAACCCCAAAACCCCAAAACCCCAAAACCCCAAAACCCCAAAACCCCAAAACCCCAAAACCCCAAAACCCCAAAACCCCAAAACCCCAAAACCCCAAAACCCCAAAACCCCAAAACCCCAAAACCCCAAAACCCCAAAACCCCAAAACCCCAAAACCCCAAAACCCCAAAAACCCAAAAACCCAAAAACCCAAAAAAAAAACCCAAAACCCTAAACCCTAAACGCTAAACCCTAAACAGATCCTCGGCTGCGCACAAACTGCACACCAAGGTTCGGAGTCGCGGCGCCTGTGCAGCGTGCAACTGCCATGGACAGCACGCGGTCACAGGGCGGCAAAGTGTCAGGGTTTAGGGTTTAGGGTTTAGGGTTTAGGGTTTAGGGTTTAGGGTTTAGGATTCAGGGTTCAGGGTTCAGGGTTTCGGGTTTAGGGTGTAGGACTTAGGGGTTTAGGGTTTAGGATTTATAGGTGTCAGGGTTGAAGGTGTGGCGCTTGCGGTGTGTGGGTTTAACCTCCTCTCTCCGAAAACAGTAAGGCTCGCCATAGAACACGTTCGCCAAAATAGGGACCTTGTAGGTGTCCTTAGGAGGTTGTCTATGTTTTTCATGTAGCTTGTTAGGGGCAGTAGGGTCGTTTAGAGGGAGCGAGGTGAGGGTGTTAGTTTTTCTGTATGGCGTCCGCCGGGTAGGGCGTGATTTTCAGCAAGTTGGGCGTCCGAAGGTTTCGAGTTAGGGTTCCTTTTCGCAAGGGTTCCTTTCTTGGGTCCTATAATGGGGATTGTGTTTTTTTGGGGGCAGGGTAATTCCTCACCACCCAAAAGGAGAGTATCGCTTCTGGCGGAGCTTTCTCTTCTGCCGCCCGTGAAAAACTGTGAAGTCTACATCCTGGGAAGTCGCGAGGTATTTTTGAGAAGATCTTCATTTTTAGGCTATAGGGTTCGATGATTTAGGGCATGGGGTTTTGGGCAGGCTTCATGAACATGGTTTTTGTGTTCAATGGACGCCGGATGCCCACTCGTGTTTGGTCAAGGAATTGGAGCTTGTATGTGGCCGCAGAGCGTCGATTTCATAGTTCTTCCGTCAGAGTCTGCTAGGGCCGCTAGGGCGCGCTACAACTACAACCCCAAGCCCTAAACCCTAAAGCCCCCAAGCCCTAACCCCAAACCCAAAAGCAGGGTTGCGATTGAGGAACTTTTGTAGCCATATTATGGAATCCTCAACAGCAACGCAGAACCACTAAACCCGAAACCCCAAGCCCTAAACCCCCAAAGCCTAAGCCCTAAACCCCAAACCCTAAAACCCATGATATGTCCTAAACTCCAAAGCTTGAGCCCTAAACCCCAAAGCCTAAGCCCTAAGCCCCGAAACCCCCGAACCCCAAAACCGTCTACCCTCAACCCTAAACCCTAAACCCTAAACCCTAAACCCTAAACCCTAGACCCTAGACCCTAAACCCCAAACCCTAAACCCTAAACCCTAAAAACTCCGAGGCTCCGCGTGCTGCCCCTGACGCCGCTTGGGGAGGCCACTGTCTTGGTCTGAGGGGTTTAGGGTTTAGGGTGTAGGGTTTAGGGTTTAGGGTTTGGGCACCCCCCCTCTAGAGGAGCTTCAAAATCATGAATTTCTAGGGCTTTTGAGGCTTGTGAGGGTGTCAAAAGCCTGAACAAGAAAGGGTTGTAGTGGTGCAAGGCTTGAAGCCTCTGGGGCAACCCTAAACCCTAAACCCTAAACCCTAAACCCTAAACCCTAAACCCTAAACCCTAAACCCTAAACCCTAAACCCTAAACCCAAGACCCTAAACCCTAAACCCTAAACTCAGGGCCTAGGCCGCGCCCCTACGTTGCGGCGCTTAAGCCCTCCGACCACGATGGCACAAGCCGACCCAGGCCGCTCGCCGCCTCCCACAGCATGGTGGTCGGTAGCGCCCACGATGGGCCCTCCTCGGGACAACAGCACTGGTCTGCCCCTGGTCCCTGACCCCCTGAAATTAAGAAGTTTTTAGAAGTGGACTGTTGTGTGAGTTCAGGCATTGACCCTAAAAGGAACAGGTTTGGGTGGCTTTGCCGCCTTGGGCGGTGTGGGGTGGGAGAAAAGGGTTAGATGGCCCTCCGCAATCGGGCCAAAGCTGCTCCGCACCTCACGAAACCTAAGCTTCACAGCATCTACGCCCTGTCACACCCTAAACCCATTCATGAACTGTTCACGGAGCGAATGTGCATCAGTTTCCGCCTGACTCCATTCAGCAGAGCATATGGCTCGCGATATTTTTCTATATCCAGTGAAGTCTTATTTCAGAACGTTGCAAATGAAGTCATGCTTATGTGGGACAGACACTACTTTGCAGTCCATGTCAACGGATGTGTGTTAGGTCCTGTACGCCTGGGCACAGATGTTGCTCCGGGTCCTCCATCGCAGGCCTGCCCTTATGTCTGGACCGTGAGCGCAAAGCGTGGAGCACGCCGTCAGAATCTTGTACTGACCCCAATGCTAAGCCCGATTATGCCTGGGGCCGAATGTACGTGTCGCTTGTGTGAAGAACCTCATGTCTTGGAGCAACATGGTTGTGTTGTCTGCCCGGTGTGTTCTTCTTGGGTGGGTGTGTAGACACCACGTGGAGCAAGTGCCGCGCGCGGAGTGTCCCGGCTGCCCTACCGCTCTAGCAGATTTCCTAGGAGGATCTTCTTGCACTACTGAGCAAGTTCTGCAACGAGTATCGGATGCCATTGATTTTGTGATGCCCAGAACTGATATGTTCCTTTGCAATCCAGAATGGTTTGTGGAATTACATCAAGGATTGATGGGATGCACAACCCCAGACTGGATTAACCGAATTGAACACTTGAAGCAGCGACTTGACTCCCATCAAGTACATGAATCGGACATTGATGACCGTCTGCGCCGACAAGTAGCAAGCGAGCGCATCATTTTTTTATGTTAATGAGACGACAGCTTCTTGCTGGCGACACAGTCAATATTGCCGGGTGGCTCTCGCCATTTCGAAAAACATGTGGGAACAGTGGTGCTCGGAGGTCAGAAACCAAATGCGAGGAAGCTTGCATGATCAGCAAATTGCACGTGAGTATGTTTCTTCGCACTACATCGACTTCAACAATATGTGTACCACTTTTCGCGACCACCTGGAGCATCTAGGAGAAGCGATTCGTGGTAGCCGACAATTCCTGACGCATCACCCGCATGCACTCCTGATTTTTCCTCATCCAGAAAAGCCTGATGCATTATTTCACAGATCTCTGGAGACTGTCGGCGCCTTTATCCAGTGCATTCAGAAGCAAGATCTGGACGGCGTCCGCAAGCATTTTCTGATGAATCATCTTTCCATGATGATGTCTAACTCCTGGCTCGAACCCTAAACCCTGCACCTAAGAACACTCAGATGGCCCTCTTCTGAACCCTTAACCCTAAATCTAAACCCGTAACCCTCAACGCTAAACCCCTAACCCCTGTCAAGGACTGTTAGTAGAAGGCAGAACATCGCAAGACCAATTTTGCAATCTCGAGGCTTTAGGGTGAGGTTGAGGGTTCAGGGTTAAGGTTTTAGGGTTAACTGTTGAGGGTTAAGGGTTCAAGTTGAGGGTTGAGGGTTAAGGTTGAGTTGAGGTTTATGGTTTAGGGTTTAGGGTGACGGGGGAGTAGCTTCGGGATTAGTGTGCTCAAGGGCTGGATCCTGAAACCCCTGAATTCAGACGCCCAAAGCACGAAACCTTGAACCCCAGACCTCAGACACTTAAGACGCCCTGAACTCGCCAGGAGGCCTTGGGTCACCCTAAGGTGTTTAAGGTTAAGGCTACAATAGGGTGTAGGGCAGGCGCAGTGTCAGAAGTGTGCCTTCGCTACGCAATGCACACTCCCCGCAGGGGAAAAACAGCCGGAGGGTTCGTATAGGGGCCTGTGTATCGCGAATGACTAGTTGGATGTTGATACTGGCATCCAACACCGAAACCCAGACCGTAACCCTAAACCCTAATCCCTAAACCTTGAACCCTAGAACTTAAATCCTAAACCGTACACCCTAAATCCAAAACTCTTCACCCTGAACCCGCAACCCTGAACCTCAACCATCAACTTGCAGGTGATATGCTTGAGATAAAAGCCTAACGACCTAGATATGTCAGTGTTCAGGACTTACGGATTTGTATCTCGTTGTATGGTTATTGACCATTTATTTTTGAACGATTAAATGCTAGAGAAGTAAGACCACAGCCGTAACTCTGTACCTGAAAATCTTAGTAGACTAAGCTAACAAAACACTAAAAAACTAGGTCCACTAACTTCTGGATTTAAAAGAATCCGTGATGAATCTTAAAGAAGCCTATGCGTATTTTACTTTACAAGAACTAATAAACGGTAATAGACGCATAATCCCTTAAGGTGCCGGCCTCATATATATATATATATGCACATATGGAGCTACTCATTAAAGCAATGAAGCCTTACTCCAAGCAAGTTAGCCTACCTTGGACACTTAAAAGCTGCGATTGACCGGAACCGCAAAGCCTCACAAGCCCTGAAGCTTTGCAACAGAAAATCCCGTAGCTGTAAGGGTTAAGGGTTTAGGGTTCAGGGTTTGTAAGCCCTCAAGCCTATGACCCAAGCCATGAAGCTTTTATCACTTCTTCGAGGAATCGCACCATGCGCTCTTCAATGTTAGATTCGAATGAGAATCCCAAACCCTACACATTGGGGGGAGTTAAGCCCTAAACCCTAAACCCCAAACCCCAAACCCCAAACCCCAAACCCCAAACCCCAAACCCTAAACCCTAAACCCTAAACCCTAAACCCTAAACCCTAAACCCTAAACCCTAAACCCTAAACCCTAAACCCTAAACCCTAAACCCTAAACCCTAAACCCTAAACCTAACCCTAAACCCTAAACCCTAAACCCTAAACCCTAAACCCTAAACCCTAAACCCTAAACCCTAAACCCTAAACCCTAAACCCTAAACCCTAAACCCTAAACCCTAAACCCTAAACCCTAAACCCTAAACCCTAAACCCTAACCCTAAACCCTAAACCCTAAAGCCATGCTTTGTTCGTGTGTATTGCCGTGAAAGATCGGCTGTACGGATCGCTGAAACTCGAGCTCCGTCGCTGGAGGTCGCGGTTGGTAAATGGGGGTTTGCGGTATTCGGGGGTACCTTCTTGGGGTCCTTATTATAAGGGGATCCGTAATCACTGAAATATCATGAATGAAAAAAAATCAATGAGGAGGTCTGTAACTTTTAGCGTATATGTTGTTGCTGCTTAGGAACAAATAGGAATATAGCATTTTTGCTTTGTTTTTGATACTACACAGGCAAACTAAGCAAAAAGAACCCTAAAGGTATATATGTATGTACATGTAGCGGAAGGGGGGCCGGTTTGGGGGGGGTTACGCAGGCAAACATATTATTCTGGGCCCAGTGGTGCGCCGTTTAGCACTTGACCAAACTGCAAGTGCCCGTTTCTCCATATTCTATCTGCAAGGCCGGCGCTATAGCGTTCTGGGTTTTGAGGCGCTTTAGAGCTTTAGCGCCTTTTTTGAAGCGGTTCCCATGCACCAATGGGTTTCACTCCAGGCCATACACGGCAAGAGGCTATGGCTTTTTGTTTGCTACATGTCCCGAACCCCGAAAGTGCCCGGAGTTCAGGCTTGAGGGTCTAGGCTTTAGGGTTTAGGGGGCCTGTTTGGTTGCCATGGCTTAGGGCGATCAAAATCTGTGAGGCAGCCCGACCCGGCCTGGCCGCGCTGCTCATAACCGGGGTCGCCGGGCACAGGGCTCAGGAACGCGTTTTTGTTTCATTTTTTTGATCATTTTTTAGAGCCTTTTATTTCTCAAACCTCGACCCTGAACCGTAAAGCCTTGCACCCTAAACTCGAAACTTTGCCTTCTTTTTTCTAGGAAGAGGACCCATATCAACCCGAGCCGTCGAAGCCTGAACTCAAGCAGCCTCGGGCCGGGTGGGGCAAAGTTGCCTTGAGCTGCTTCCCGGTCGTTTAGGGTTTCCCTAAACCCTAAACCCTAAACCCTAAACCCTAAACCCTAAACCCTAAACCCTGAACCCTATATAAACCCCAAACCATAAGCCCTGGGTGGCCTACTGAGGGCTTGGGGTTTTTCCTACCAAACCCTGAGCCAAAAAAATTACCCTAAAGCCGTCAAGCCCCAATACTTAAATATAATCAGGATCCTTGGAAGGTACCCGAATCCCTGGACACTCAACCCTCAACCCTAAACCCTACCCTAGACACACTTGCCCTAAACCCTAAACCCTAAACCCTAAACCCTAAACCCTAAACCCTAAACCCTAAACCCTAAACCCTAAACCCTAAACCCTAAACCCTAAACCTTAAACCTAAACCCTAAACCCTAAACCCTAAACCCTAAACCCTAAACCCTAAACCCTAAACCCTAAACCCTAAACCCTAAACCCTAAACCCTAAACCCTAAACCCTGAACCCTTGGAGTGCTTCCGCCGCTCCCTTGCCAGGGACGAGACTGCCAGCGTGCGCGCCGCAAGGGATGGTAGGCGCGCCAAGGCAGGGCTCCCAGGCTTAAGCTTGTTTAGGGCTACTGAGGTTTAGGGTTCAGGGTTTAGGGTTTAGGGTTTAGGGTTTAGGGTTTAGGGTAATCCCTGAACCCTAAAGTCATGAGTCCCTTCAATGACGGGAACCCCAAATCCCGAGTTGAATCCAAAACTCCACAATATCTAAATTCTCCTGCATAAATATCGTTGCAGAGCCCAAAGCTTTCAAGAAACCCATGATGCCCCCAAATCCTGAAACAATCCCGAAAGTCCTAACAATCATTGAGACCTCCCCTAAACCTTAACTGTAAATCGCAAACCCCAAACCGCCAACAACCCACCCTCCCCCCCTTCCTTGGAAAGCGCCTAAACACCAAGCCTACCTCTGAAAAAAACCAAGCCAGGGCCACGCTAAGTTGTCAATGCTTTTTGGGTTTAGGGGCTTGGGGTTTCGAAAGCTATAAGCACTATCACCCTAAACACCCCGAAACCCTCAGCACCCTTAACCTCGAACACCCTACACCCAAAACCCGAAACCCTAAACCCTAAACCCTTAACCCTTAACCCTTAACCCTTAAACCTCAAACCCTAAACCCTAAACGAAATTTTCGGACGGCCGTAAAGCCAGCGTCGCCTTCCATGGGCAGAGCCCGAGGCCGCGGTGGAGGTGCGCCACTTTGCCGAGGGCCTGCTTCTCCGAGGCTGGGTTTGGGGTTCAGGATTCAGGGTTTAGGGTTTAGGGTTTAGGGTTTAGGGTTTGGGGTTTAGGGTTTAGGGTTTAGGGTTTAGGGTTTAGGGTTAGGGTTCAGGGTTTAGGGTTGAGGGTTCAGTGTTTAGGGTTTAGGGTTCAAGGTTCAAGGTATTTGTGGTTTTGGGATTTTGGGGTTTCGGGCTTAGGGTTATTGAGGGCGACTTCTGAAAACCCCCAAAACTCCTAAGCACCTCGGGGCTAGGGTTGTGTCTGTGGGGTGTTGAATCTAACAGCAAGTAAGTTGCCTTAGGCCGAATTTCAGGTGGCACAAAGGCCCTACAGATTCCCGAAGCCACGGAAGCAGCTAAACACCGAAAAACCATAAACCACGCAAGACGTGAAGTGGCGAATATTACTTTGCAATAAAACTGCCTGCCTGTCAGAAATTGGTGGCTCCTCGAGCTTTGCCATGTTGTGGCTAGAGCTTCCTTGGGAAGTGTGTGTATCATTGTTTGTATGTGAAATCCCACGGGAATATGTAAATCAACAACAGTAAAACGATGGTCGCTCTATTGTCATGGTTTGGTGGGGTCTTAGGATTTGGGCCTGCTTAAAGGGACCGCAATTCACAGAAGCCCAGGAACGGCTCAACCTCTGGGCTTTGAATCTGAACTTTCCAGGAGCTTGGCTTTCGGGTTGCTTTGGGGTCAGGGTTTAGGGTTTAGGGTTTAGGTTCTTTTTGCGTATTGCCCCTTCAATTCTTAGTAAAGGTTTGAGACCTAATGGGTTTAGACTTTTTCCGAGGGTACCCTAAACCTTAAACCCTAAACCTTAAACCGTAAACCCTAAACCTTAAACCCTAAGCCGTAAACCCTAAACCTAAACCGTAATGGGGTTCGAGTCCCAGGCTCCCTTGAGGAGAAGCTGGAGCCACCGCCCCAGGACCGCGTCACTAGGCCCTTGAGATATTCTCATTGGAGCTTCCATAAGGGGGTATGCAGGAAGGTTTTTTTTCTCAGGGTTTCCTAGAACAGGGTTCATGAAATCAGGCGGACCATCCAACCCCGATCCCCTACCCCTCCAGCCCATAGAGGTAGCGTTGCAGTCATCTCTTCTCGGTTCGGGGCCAAAACGGTGGCGAA